CATATCAGATATTTACATTACGATTCATAACAGTAGCAACATTACAGTTATGAAGTAGCAACGAAAATAATTTTATGGTTGGGTCACAACATGAGGAACTGTATTTAAAGGGCCAGAAGGTTGAGAACCACCGCCTTAGAGTGTCAAACAAAAAATGACAACAGCCAACACAACAATAGCCATCTGGTGTGAATGAATCAAAATTATACCTATTTTTTTGGTCATACCGGCAAAAAACATAATATATTTTTTGATGTGCCACAGAATTTTAGTAATTAGTTCCTTTGTGCCATGAGCTGGAAAAGATTGAAAATTGTTGTGGAGATCACGAGTGTGGGTTTCAACTCCTTCCCATGGACCAGAGCATTCATGTTTCAGTTCGGGCTGCCTAGAGCTCCTCTGGCTGCCACAGGACCGGAGACTATTCCTCTCTCCTCAGAGTTCATGGTAGGGGGTCGTGGAAAACGACAGGAGGTTGCCCTGGCTCCAGACTACCACTAGAGTTGAAAACAGTTGAACTCTTAGGAGAGGGGACCTGTGGAACCCTGGGGTGAGGAGAGAATGAATCCTCATGATGTTGGTGAATGTAACGGGCTTCAAAGAGCCTGGGCCTTCTGCTGACTCTCCCCGACATGTGTTATTCAAGTCCCAGTCTCCAACTGTCTCCTTTACCAGCCCTGAAATCAGCCAGTTTCTCTCTCCACTGCCACCTGTTGTTTCTAATCAGCATTTCTGTGGCTCTCTGAGAAAGCAATCAGTCTCACTTCACCCCCCAGCCTGTTCCTGTCACTGAAAGGAAAACACAAATGGCACTGGGAAATAATGTCTTCAATCTCAGTGATAGAAGATACGGCGTCTAAAACAGACAATGGTCACAGTATGTTCCATCGAGGTAGTAATCAAGGACCGTGTTTTCTGGCATTTAAAAAACTTCAGAAAATACAAAGAAATATTATGTAGCCCTAAAAAAGAAGTCCTGTCAAAATGCTGCAACATGGATGAGGTTGTTGAGGATATTATACTAAGTTTGTCATTAAAGGACAAATACCATATGATTTCTACAGTAGTCAAAATCGCAATATGCAATAGCTAAAGTAGTCAAATCCTCAAAACAGAAAGTAGAAGTAAATGGCTGCAGGGAAGGCAGGGGGGATTTCAGTTTTGAAAGACAAAAAAGTTCTAGAGCTCTATTGCTCTATTGCACAACAATGTGAATATACTTAATACCACTTAAAAATTATTAAGATGGGCCCTGGCTGGGTAGCTCAGTTGGTTAGAGCATCGTTTCGATACCCTAAGGTTGCAGGTTTGATCTCAGTCAGGGCACATACAAGGAGCAGCCAATGAATGCATAAATAAGTGGAACAACAAATCAATCTTTCTCACCCTCTCTTCCTTTCTCTCTCTCTCTCTCTCTCTCTCAAATTAATAATTTAAAAAAGTTTTAATGATTAAGATAGTAAATTTGATGTTATGTATTTTTTACTATAATCTAAAAATAAATGAATAAATAACTTCACAAACAGAAGAGACCACAAAAATTTAGTGTGGTGATTGCCAAGGAGAGGGGGAGGTGGAGGAAGGTAGTGGAGGGTATAGGGGGGATAAATGGTGATGGAAGGAGACTTGACTTGGGGTGGTGAACACACAATACAGTGTACAGATGATATGCTGTGGAATTGTGCACCTGAAACCTGTATAATTTTGTTAACCTGTGTCACCCAATAAATTCAATAGAAAAGGGAAAAAAAGTGAACCAAAAAACATGAGATGCCAAAATTATTGGCTTAGAAGTTAATCATCTTTTAGTCTTGTGAATATTTTAATTTTAACATAGAAATGTGTAAGAGAATCAAAATATATAGTGTTTATAATTTTAGATTTTAAAATATATTTGTAATATTTAAAAGAGTATATGGCCTGTTAGAATAAGAGAGCAGTCTTCTAGTTTCACTTTTTCAATGTGTAATGCAATAATTGATTAGAAATGTTATTTTAAAGTTGAAATCTTAAAATAGAATATTACAACATTTAAAAGAACTTAAGATTTCACCTTATCAATAAGTTGAACTTATATTTACAAAAAGTACTTAAGCAAATAGGACAATTTGCCAGCCTGGAAGCTGGATTAGATAAAAATTAAATTTATTAAATATACAAATTCCATTTTAAAAACTTGATGGTGTTTATACTTGTAAAACATTAGTCAAAGGCCCCCTAATGTGTTTTTAGAATTTGTTATACCAATAAATGAAACAACTGTAAGCTAAATTTAGCTTTAGAAACAATAAGGTCTTGGATTTATAACTTCAGTAAGTCAATAATTAATTATTAACACTAATAAAAAAAAGAAAGAGAAATTAAGAAAGATTTCATTTACAACTGCATCAAAAATAATAAAATACCTAAAAATAAATGAACCAAGGAGGTGAAACATCTGTACCCTGAAAACTATTAAGACACTAATGAAAGAAATGGAAGAAGACACAAATAAATGAAAAAATACTCCATGATCTGAATTGAAAGAACTAATATTGTTTAAATTTCCATACTACCCAAAGCTATATTCAGATTCAATGCAATCCATTAAAATTCCAATGGCATTTTTCACAGAAATAGAACACACAATCCTAAAATTTGTGTGACCCATAAATGAACCCTAATAACCAAAGCAATCTTGAGAAAGAACAAAGATGACGACATAACACTTCCTGATTTCAAACTACATTACAAAGCTATAGCAATCAAAGCAGAATGATACTAGCATAAAAGCAGACATATAGATCAATGGAACAGAATACAGAGCCCAGAAATAAATTCATGCATATATGATCTCCAATAAACAGTGTTGGGAAAACAGGACAGTCACATTCATAAAATAAAACTTGATCTCTATCTTACACCATATACAAAAATCAACTCAAAATGGATTAACAACCTGAATGTAAGACCTGAAATCATAAGTCTTCTAGAGCAGTGGTTCTCAACCTGTGGGTCTCGACCCCTTTGGCGGTCGAACAACCCTTTCACAGGGGTCGCCTAAGACCATCCTGCATATCAGATATTTACATTATGATTCATAACAGTAGCAACGTTACAGTTATGAAGTAGCAACAAAAATAATTTTATGGTTGGGTCACAACATGAGGAACTGTATTTAAAGGGCCAGAAGGTTGAGAACCACTGTTCTAGAGGAAAACATGTGGTAAGCTCCTTGACATCAGTCTTGGTACCAACATAATGTCACCCCAAAGCCTCTGCGGATGGCCAGCCGGGCCAGGCAGGCCTCCCCACTATCCACTCTGTGTGCACTCAGTGCTGTCCTTTGAAAAGTCCTACCAGCCTGGACCAGAGATATCAGCTCATGCTTATTCTCTAAGATGTTTCATTATTCAGCAGCATTTTTAGTCAAATGCATGCAAATTAAGAAGAAAATTAGCAAAAAAGAAAAATGGCACAAGGTATAAACAAAAAAGCATTCTCATATACTGCTGGTGGGAGTATAAATTGGAAACATACCAAATACCTCTGACTTCTAGGAATTTATCCTTACCTATTAATTAACGATATGAACGAAGATTTAACTACAATAATGTCTTCTAGAGCAAGTCAGTTTATAACAGGTAAAACTTAGAAATCACAAATATCCAATAGTTGAAATTGATTAAATAAATATTTACAATGCAATAACACTGACATTTGCAATATGTTACAGAAGTACATTTATTGACCAGGAAAGACATTCACAATGTGTTTTTATTCTTTTTGTTTAGTTACATTTTCTAACTTTTTTCAATGAACATTTATTATCCTATATAGTGCTGGCTTTGAATAAAATCCAGGGGTTGGAAGGAAGAGAACACATATACTGATGCAAGCTGTGTGTGTGTGTGTGTGTGTGTGTGTGTGTGTGTGTGTGTGTGTTACATGCCATTGAGTTGTCTTCGATTCCTGGCAACTCTATGAATGAGTGATGTCCATGTGCTATTCTGAACAGCCCTGCTCAGCTCCTATAGATTCATGCTTATGGCATCTTTTATGAAGTCAGTACATATCATATTTGTTTTCCTTTTTTCCTGCTGCCTTCTCTTTCAAAGGAGCCTCAGACAGGTATTAGTGGCTTATCTGAGGTCACCCAGCGGTGTGGTATTATCACCCGGCACTGCAGATTCTTAAGTCCAGATGTGTCTGATCATTCCTAGTGCCTTCAGATTAGAGCAGAACCTTATCTCTCTCTCTGCTACTCAACACCAGTGTCTTGGCTCAGAAAGCAAAGGTGCCCTCCAGCTGTGTGGTGAGCCAAAATATCTGAATAAAATTGTTTTTAAAATCTCTCTTCTACATGTCCTATGCACAATGGTAAGAAACCTCAACTGCAAACTGCATGTCGTGTCATAGTCTAGGATTTTCTAAAGTGTATCATCAAATAACAAACTTCTCTCAAGACATCTCAGAAGAATTGGTGAGATGGGGAGGGGAGGGAAGAGAGAAAATGACGATAAAAAAGATCTACTTTGTGACCCAGGCTTATAGTCATTTCTTCCTGTGAAAGCTCCTCTACTTTTAATAAACCTCATCATTCTCTTCACCAGCAAAAAACACGTTGGCTTCTCAGAAGTTGACTCAGGACCCTGGTCAGCTGCTGTGGGAAAGTTTTGTCTCTGTTCTCTTCTGTGATCTAAATCTAATAACTCCTTGACCCATTTCCAAAGAGACATGTACTGAAAACGGTGATTAACATTACTGTATCTGGCCTTGAAGCATCTATCTAGAGCATCTGTTTTCTCCTTGAGGGACATTCATTTGGAGATATTTGATAGGACAGAGGGATAGAGTAAATGTTTCCCTCCTTACACAGACCGAGAAAGCAGCAGCCGAGAGTGAAAGGGAATGACCCACAATGCCCCATCTCCCCAGGCCTCCATCTCCGCTGCCGTGAACAGAGGCAAGCCAGCACTGGGAAAATAAGCAAACCTCATAGAAATGAAAGTCTTACTTACGGACACACATTTCCCTGCTTTCATAAAATCCAGGACAACACTGTGATTTGCGCCTATACATAGTTTTCTCCCCATGTCGATAGGCTGTCCGATAACTGATTCTATATAGAGGGAAAAGGCACACTGTTACCTCTTTTGACCTGATATTTGATTAGAAATAAATGATTTATATTTCCATACAAAGAGTTATTAAATAGAATAAAGGTATTAAAAGCAAAGTATTTAATGACTGTTATCAATTTCCTTCCCAGTTAGCCAAACTCGCAAATATATCTGAGCTTTCATTACCTGTGCCGTGTACACTTAAACCAGTTCAGAATGTCAGTGCAGCTGGTGTAGTAAATTTGGTCAAAGGGATGTGGGTACGACTCTTGCACAGTTACTGAGTAGCTGAAAAGAAGAGGAAAGATAAAGAATCAATATTTCTCTTTCTTACATTATGTACTAAGTAAAAAACAAAACAAAACACGCAACCATAGGCTAAATTAGCTCCATTTGCAATTCCATACTGACTTAGATTCTCCATGTTTTTACAGGTTTTTATTTGAACCAGAACCAAAATTAAAAATATATTTAAAAGACAAGAGTTCATGCTATAAATTTCAAAAGAAAGTCTCTTTTAGTATTCACCATAAATTCTTATATTCCTAAATTGAAAAACATATCACCATATTTTTTTCTGTATTTCATTCCATCCCCTCACCCCAGAGGTCCAGGGATAACCAAAACCTTTCACAATAAAAGTTTTCAATCTAAGTCTGCATGTAGATAATAAAGGTAATCAGCAAAGAGACAGTTTGGGTATTTATAACAGTACATTTTGCTACTGACTCTGGAATATCAGGAAGAGCATATTTCCTGGATTGAAACTCGGAATAATTTGCTTCTGTGTGCCTGCCCCACTTCTCAGACAGTGGAAGAATATATACAGCCTCTAAATAAAAACTACAAAGAAGTCTCTAAAACCAGTAAAAATATGGCTGAGACAATTAGCCTAAAATAATCGTACCAGAACTGTTGCTATTTAGGCAGCCTGTTTTCCAATACATTTTCACTAACAACTTCCAATTAAAGGAAAAGCATGCAGTCCTATGGGCCTAAGAATGTGGATGGAAAACATCCATGAAATATAAAGAACTTCCAGGGTTCAACCCCATACTTCATTTTAAAGGAGCTTCGAATTCCTGCCTACAGGAAAATCTAAAGAATCCTCCTTTCCATACAGTTTATTTTCTTTTCTTTAACATTCTCTTAAAGATTTCCACTACAATCTTTAGTTCACACTAACAAACAAAATGAGCTGAAATCACGAACTCAATCGCCCAAGTTCATTTAAAGATACTATCAACTGGAGAAGGTACAGAAAAAATGAGGTCAAAATTTCAGCACGAAAAATTCAGATTAGATATAGAGCAGAACCTCCTAATTTGAAAAACTGTGTGGTGCAGGCCCCACCAACAGTGGCCTTTCTTTCCCCAGCTGGTCTGTCAGTCACTATGTACTTAGGCTTCCATTGGACACCCATGAAATAATCATACTATTCACACTTTTGTGTTCATTCTTTGGGACACTGCAACTTGATTTCTAGGCAAATTTAGGGTTCCTCCGCAAATCTTTGGCAGCTGCAATAGGCCTATGAAAAGCTCACTGGATGAGAAGCCAGTGTGATAGTTCCAATCTGACATTGGGAAACTGGGTGGCCTTGAGCAGATAACCCCACTCCCCTGGGTTTTGATGGTCAAAATCGCGAGGTCAGGCATGGTCTAAAGATCCCTTCCCACATGGCATTCTGAACTTCTAACACATTTTAGATGACTATTTCCTTTTACTCTAGTCAATGACACCTGCTGTTACCTGCAAGAACAGGTTCGGAGGAGATTAGAGTGTGCAGTGACCTACATCTGCAATGTAACTCCTTTTGGGTAAAGCAAGAGGCCTCCGTTAAAATATAAATGTTCTTAGAATGAAATTTCACATTAAGCTATTGATATTTCTTCAGACCCCTAGCAGTGTCCTGAGGTTCAGATCGATGCAGACTCTGAGACTTCTTGCCAACTTTTTGTCCTTCCTATCCAGCTTCTTGTAAATAGCTAAATTTTGAGGCCTGCCGCATCGTTTCTCCATTCCACTGCAAGTGAGGAGCAAAGCGAGTGAACGCCCCCTGTATGGGCTGTTGTACAGGTGCAGTGCTACATTGTCTGTGGGAAAAACAGAGCAGCTTCCCACGGGTGCTGCAGGAATAAAAAAGAAACCACTCTAAATTAATGCCAGTTGGGGAGGGGAGGGAATCATTCTATTGGGCTCTACCGTATTAATTTAGCTATTTAGCTTAACTAAATTAGTTTGCTGGAACTAGACCTGATGCAGTTTTCCTAAAATTTCCAAGGGCATGGTATGTTGTTAAGATCTGAATGCCTTTGAGCAAATGTGATCATCAACAAACAATCCTGGCCAAATACATCCCATTTGATGTGGCTTGGAGAACTGATGCCACAAGCAAACATGAAAAATATTTCCACTAATGTCTAGTGGCCTGGAAGAGTGCTTACACCAGAGGAAATGTGCAAGTACAGGAATTTCCTCTTCTTGCCACTTGCTGCTCTCCAATAATATATGTCCGCAGGATGCTTCTCTGGTTTGAGGATATAAAAAAGCTCTTCTCTATAAAAGGGAAATCAAGCCATTTAGGATTCCAATTCAATAAACACTTATTGAACCAATTCTATGCAATTCCTGGTCTCAAAGAGCTCTCAGGAAAGTCCAGCCTGTAAATACTAAAAATAATGGGATACAGCTTTAATGGAGACATGTAGGCAGTTTGGGGGAAATAGGACTATAAAATTCACTTGAGCATTTCCCTTTGATCTTGATTCTTTGCATTAAAGTTATTCAGAGGCTCACACTCAATTCATAACTAACTGAATATGAATTACAATTTGGCCAGAAACTGAGGCTCCCATTAAAGTTTACAGAAGAAGGATTTTAAACTTTGTTGACCCAAATTTATTGTCTCTTCTGTTGTTGTTTTTTAATATACATTTTTTTTTCTTTTCTACACAATCTTTCTTTTTTCTTTTCTTTTCTTTTATTTTTAAATATATTTTGTTGACTTTCTACAGAGAGGAAGGGAGAGGGATAGAGAGCTAGAAACATCGATGAGAGAGAAAGGTATAATTTTGTCACTCCATCGATCAGCTGCCTCCTGCATACCCCCTACTGCATTCTCTGGCCAATGCCTAGGCTGCTGTTGGAACTTAAACACCACCTCTGCTAACAGTTCACACTTTCACATTCAGGAGCAGCTGCCCCAAAAGTCGCAGAGTAGGATGGTCTAGTCCAGCTATTTTCTTTTCTTTTCTTTTCTTTTTAAATATATTTTGTTGACTTTCTACAGAGAGGAAGGGAGAGGGATAGAGAGCTAGAAACATCGATGAGAGAGAAAGGTATAATTTTGTCAATACCATCGATCAATTTCTCATGTTGTGGTGACCCCCAACCGTAAAATTATTTTCGTTGCTACTTCATAACTGTAATTTTGCTACTGTTATGAATCGTAATGTAAATATCTGATATGCAGGATATATTTTCATTGTTCGAGACCCACAGGTTGAAAACCGCTGCTTAGACTGTCAAGTAAGAACAATGACAACAGCCAATACAACAATAGCCATCTGGTGTGAATGAATCAAAATTATACCTTTTTTTTTTTATATCAGCAAAAGATATATCTTTTGGTGTGCTGCAGAATTTTAGTAATTAGTTTATGTGCCATGAGATGAAAAAGGTTGAAGATTGTTGATCTAGTCCAATCTCGTTTTCATCACAAATGAGCAACACTGAGCTCCCAGTGCTAGTGGGTATTTTAGACTCAGCACTAACATCTCGACCCCCAGACACCTCCTGCCCCTCTGTCTCCTTTCAAATGTCACTAGAACATCTAAAGCTTGTAAAGCAGAGAGTGAGGGGCAAATTGTGGTATGAAAAGAATCTGATCTCAATCCTGCACTATTTTAAGCATCCAGATGCAAAACCCTTTATTTCCTGCTTGTTTGTTTAACCTTCTCAACACACTGAAAACATATCACCTCTGTGATTTTAACCTATTAAGTATTATCCGGGGAGAAACCCCAGCAAGATTTACTTTAAGGTCAAAGAACTCGGGGGAAATAAGCCATCACCACTTGGACACATTCCAAAGTGGTTAATTACATTTTATCTGCTTAAATTATCTTGTTACTGAAATCAGATATGATAATAATCATCATTTCTTATCTCTGCTTGCTTTGGATTGCTGCTTCAATTACTACCAGTTCTGTGTTCCACCCCCAACGGGTTCGTTGGGCAAAGAACAGCTTCTCTTCATTTGTGCCTTCCTTAGGAGCAACCCCAATAGAGGGAAGAACTTAGACTCACAGAACAGAAAGAGAGGATGGGGAGAAGGAACAGGTGATTCATCCTTTTACTCACGTTCCAAAAGGATGCTATGCAGAATTCCTTTGATAACATATACCTCTTGTGTATTTTAAGTTATTTAATTTTTCTTAATTTCATTTTAAGTACAACTTCTGAGAATCAGCATTGCTGCATTAAAATGAGGCATACTTTTGTTTGAAAATAAATCATTTCTAGGTCTGGGGTGGGGCTCGAGACCCCACATTTCCCACAAGCTCCAAGGTGATGCTCAGGCTGCAACTCCGCAGACCACACTCGGAGAAGAAAGCCTCCAGGTGATTCCACGGCTCCGAACCATCGGGTACAGGTGGGTGTTAGTGTAAGGAAAGTCCGCAATGAGCCCTCTTCAGACCTACTACTAAGACTTTTGTCCCTAAGCTAATCATCCTCTCCCCTTTTCCATTCAAGGCAATTTTAGTTTTTGAAAATATACAAGAACCTGTCACCTGCACCTTTATTTGATCATTTTAATTCATCCTCCATTCTCCATGCTTCTCAAAGTAATTCCACTTTCCTTTTCCTTTCTTCAAAGAATCATTACTAGCTTTGTAACAGGAAATCTATCGATAAGAAGATTGCAGCTGTCAATCTGTCTTTCTAGCAGTTCATTTAACATAGAAAAAAGAGAGTCAGGAAAAAATCGCCATCATTTCCCTATATTTTCATGTTCAACTTCCCGATCCATTAGTGACCGTGTTAGTGGTTATTCTAATGTGCAACAGTGGAATTATATTGCATTTAAAAATGAATGTGCCCCTTGTCTTTCTGCCTCTCTTTCTCCTCCCTCCCAATTGATGTTCATTATTAGTCATCTCCTATCAGAAGGTGAAAGCTCCTTCGACAATTATTAATTGAAGGCAGTGTTTTAGACACTTGGGATCATCAGTGGTGAATAAAACAATGCAAGTTAGTGTTGGCAAATTTGGTCAGATACTGAGCAAGGAATCAGGACAAAATGTGTACATTTGAGTGGGTGCTGGGCTATTTGAAGTCTTGGATTCTTTTCTCTTGATAGCCTTTCCCTTGGAGCACTCGTCTGTTCACATTTCATCATGGTCCCACATCCACATTCCCACACACTTCCAGGCCCATATTTCAAATTGATCTTATGAACACAACAGAGCAAACCATGTGAGTCCCTTCCCTCTCAAATCAGCTCTCTTCCTTTTATCTTTCCACATGTGCAATGACACCGCCACTCTTACACAGCAGGTTCTAAACTTCAGCCTTTTCTGCTTCCTTCACATCCTATAGTCAATGTTTTACCAAGACCTGATGGTTTTTATTTCATGGCATCTTACAAATTTGTTCTTCCTCCCATTCCAAAGCTATTATCCTCCAAGAAGGTCAACCACAAGTGGACTCTCCCTTTTCTCAATTTGAGATGTATTTTTATTACTTTAATAAATATTATATACTTTGTTAGTGAAATGTTTTATGAAAGGTGCTGTAACAATTATAAAGATAATACACAGGTCCCTCCTCTTACATTCTGTATGATATAGTTAATATCACAAACAAAAGAACTTTATTACATATACATATTTCCTCTACAGCTTAAAGTTTCATAGTGATATATAGCTCTATTGATAGATCAGGGAAATATATTTTTGTTATCTTGATTGCAATGCTGCCAATGGAGGTGGGAACGAGCCCTCACTGAAAAATAATGCTGTGAGTGAGGAGCCAGTGTGCCCTAGAACAGCAGAGCTGCTGCGCGGACAGGCTCTGCGCTTTGTGCATCCTGCCAGGCAGTGGGCGATCAGAGTGTGTGCTCTGTGGGGGAGTAATCACGGTGCGATGGTGACAGCAAAAGGAGACCAAAAAGCTTATGTCAATGCACTTACAGACAATAAAACACATATTCCTCTCTAGTACTTGACACCTCCTATTTGTCTGAAAAACTTGCATTTGCAATGTTATTTCTGGATAAAGATACTTTCTTAGCCATGCAAGTAGCACACCAGAGCTCAGTAGACTGCATATGATTGTACTGTACTTTCACATGGCTTGTGCTAATTCTGTGTTCCAAAAGGGACCATAAGATCCCCAAGAACAGCCGATTGTTTTGTACTTCCTCTGTATTTCCTACTGCACATTGCCCAGATCTGGACACGACATCATCTGCTCTCATATAATCTATTCAGTCTTGTCCTCCTCCAGTCCTGTAATGACTCGAGCCTTTTTAAAATATATATTTTTATTTTTTAAATACATTTTTATTTATTTCAAAGAGGAAGGGAGAGGGAGAGATAGAAACATCAATGATGAGAGAGAATCATTGATCAGCTGCCTCATGCATGTTCCCCACTGGGGATCAAGCCTGCAACCCGGGCATGTGCCCTGACTGGGAATCAAACCGTGATCTCCTAGTTCACAGCTTGATGCTCAACCACTGAGCCATGCCAGCAGATGTACTGACTCTAGTCTTGCTGCGCACAGCCCCTAGAGGTCTGCATGGCACTGGCGTCAGGCCACCTTCCATTCCTAGAACCCCTCCCAATCACTGCCACCCGCTCATGTCAGCTCTTCAGAAACATCTTAGGTAACACACCTCCAGGTAGCTTTACCAGTGTCCCCAGAAAGCATGTCTCCCTTTTAGGCCACCTATAGCACAATTTTTTTTGCCATACATTTCAAGTACATTATTATACACTGTCTTCCACTGCTCATTCATTGATTCCCATACAGAAGTCCAACTCCCCCAACTTATTGTAAATAAAGTCAGAGCAGGGACAGGACCTTAGGGAGTTCATTTTAATTGAACGATTAATGTAATGTTTTCCCTGACTCTTATAATCGCACCTGTGTAAGAATCAATATATCAAGTTTTTTTTCACATAATATATATTCTATAAGACCAAGATGAATAATACTGTCTGATTTATTAGCTACAACTAATGATTTTTACACAAAAGTAACTTTACAATCTCTTGTCAAATTCTAACTTTATATATCAGTCTGAGGATGACAGTATATAAAGAAATGTATCAGAAATTATTTCTAAGATTACTTTCAGAACTATTACCTTTCCCAGTGGCTACACACATTAGGGTCTTCAAGATTGAGAGGTGATGCTGTCTTTATCCAATGGCATAATAATAAACAGAGAAATCCCAGGTATGTGTTCAAAGAAACAACCATTTTTTCTGACGAACACCCTAGAAGGAAAAAAAAATCCAAATTAGAGATGCATTAAAATGACCAAAACAGAATTCCTTTCAGAACAGCAGCCATTTGGGACCAGTTGTCACCAGGGCTGAAACATGCATAACAATCATGTATTGAAATAGACGGGCCACCAGATTTCATGGTCTAGGAGAGAGAGGTGTTTCTTGTGTGGTGCAGGGTGGCCACTGTTTTGTAAATTACTACAATGTGCAAATCATCATTAATTGCCACCACAACAAAAGCCCTTCTCATCCATGCCAGCTAACATTAAAGGAATCTACCAGAACAACTCAAAGCAACACGGGCTTCCAGATTCTCTCATCAGGCATATTTCCCTTCTGGAAGAAGAAGGCTCACAGCGGAATCTGGCCTCATTGGTCCCAGAGCATAAATGATGAAACAGAAGCTTCACTGAATCAAGAGAGAACCCAACTATGCTGATCAACTGAAGGCTGCCTCCATGTCATTCCTTCTTTGCCTACTCCGTCCACACCTTTGGGGACCCCTGGACCTGTTGGGGTTGGACCCCAACAGAGTTATACATTGTTTCGATTATAGAACGCAAACAAACCAGCAGCAGAAGCCTCAGAGCTAGAGCCAGAGCTAAAGCTGGCCCAGAATAAAAAAAGAAAAAAGAAAAAAAGGAGCGGTTGGGAGCTTCAGTCAATCGCCAGCCTTAAGGCAGCCCTCAGCCCCTCACCCAGACTGGCCAGGCACCCCAGTGGGGACCCCCCCCCCTGAAGGGTGTGTGACCCAGCTGCAAACAGCCATCATCCCCTTATCCAGGCTGGCCAGGCCCCCCAGTGGGGCCCCCCACCCCTGATCCAGGGACACCCCTTCAGGGCAAACCAGCCCAGCCCCCACCCCATGCAACAGGCCTCTTATTCCAAATAGTAAAAAGGGTAATATGTCCTCCCAGCCCCCGGGATCACCGGGAGCAGCGAGGTCTCCTGGTATTGGGATTCGACGGTGACAGGGGGGCATGTGCGCAAACCCCCTTGTATCTCTGGGGGGTTCTGTCGTCGTTAGAGGGTGTGGTGCTCCACATCCTTCCAAACCATCTCATTTAGGTAGCCCCCCCCGGGGGGGG